AAGTGAATGCAGGTCTTAGCAAATTAGAAGATTTGATGAAAGGGACGAAAGAGGGGACAGTAGATGCCAAACAAAACTTAAATGAAGTTGTACAAACTTTAGAATCGTCTGTATTAGATATGACACCAGGTAATATGAATGCAGTAGAGAGTTATCCAGTGACCCATGCAGCTTCCAAAATTAAAAAGCATTATGACAAAAATCTTAAGGAGGCAGAAATACTGAAACCAGACAATTTTATGGTGAAAATATGGGAAGTGAAAAAAATGGATATTCTGTCAGATGGGCTGAAAGACTGTTCAATTCAAAAAGAAACTGAACGATGGGATGTATTGTATAAATGGCAGCAGCTACCAGACAATGTTGGAATAACATAGAAATATATTTAAAAAAAAAAAAAAGAAGTCCATCTGAAGACAGTTCGTCTAGTTAGCAGAGCTACTGCTCCAGCCTTGAAGGTCTGATTATTCAAGTTGACTGATCATTAAGTGCAGCTTGTGCTCCCAAAGAATGGCAGTCTTCCCAGAACTAATTGGGATGTAGAACGTAGCATGAGAGAAGTAAATTTCTTCCCATCATGGGTTTAGTGTTATGATGTTTCATTTGGTGTTGTTGTGCACTTAGGTCAAGACCAGGGCTGGTAAAAACAGAACAATTTTATCTGCAGTCTGAAGTAGTCTTAGCAGATGTCACAGTAACACATAGTCATGACCCACTTGCCAAGGACATGATTAGAGTCAGCTACAGTATAGAGCATTATGTAATAGTTTGTGAAAGATACCAAATAATCTCTGGGCACTTTCAGAGGTCACAATAAGGCAGGACTTCAAGGGAACTTGAGTCTATTGTGGGCAATCATTGTGATGGCTCCCACAGCCACTTGCAGTAGGAGTGGATGAACCGTGGGTCTGGTTGATTGGCCTGATTTATTTATTTATTTGTTTGTTTGTTTGTTTATATCCTGCCACTCTGGGCGGCTGTAATTAGTGTAATATTAGTGTAATATTCAAATCAGGCAGCGTTTACCATTCTCTGTGTTTTTGTTTCTTCCCTGAAAAGCTAGTGAAATAAGCATAAAACCAACTTTTTGTTATTTCCCTGCTCTGTCAGGAGAGAGACAAGTTTAAGAGCCAGCTGCTGCAAAGTTTGGACACTGCACTAAAAAAAAATCCATGGACCCAAGCCCCATGGCTCATTTAGCCACTCCCACTGCAAGGGAATGGTCAGACTGTGTAGCAACCTGCATGCTGACTCACCCACTAACAAGTCAGAATTTATTAGAATCCTGGCTTGAATGTAATATACAGACCCACCCAGTGAATCACAAAAATATGTGGCCTCTCATTACAGTTACAAAATGTGTGTATGAATATACTTTTACACTTCTAACTCAGTAAACAAATGCTTTCAATGCCTAATAAAGAAAACCACATATTAATACATCAAGATGTAATCAAAGCATAATGTTTTGGGCATGACAAGAGAGAGGCTGTGGCCTTATACCAATCATCTAACCCATTATTGTCAACTCTTGCTGGCAGTGGCTTTCCAGGGTTTTAGGCAAAACTATTAGCAAACTCTACCTTGAGATCCCTGGCATTCTCACATGGACACCCATCTAAGTACTATGCAGGCCTGACTGTATTTAGTTTTTGGAATCAGTTGAGATTGGTGTGTTCAGAAGGGCATGGTAATGTAAATCAATGGGGATGAAGGTCAAACCTCTGATAATAACTCAGAAAGATATGCCCGTAGTTTAGTCACACCAAGCAAGCCTCTGATGTTTACACAGAGCAGAACAGAAATGTTCCTTTCCTCTCTCTTCTTTTGATGATTTATCCTCAGTCTTATTGTTTGTTCAGGAAATTACACTTTAAAAATCTCTCTCTCTGACTTTGAGGATGAACAACGTTTTGCCCAGTATGAAAATTTCTGGGTTGCAGATGAGCAGGTAATAGCAACATAAACTTTGTTATAAGGCACCAAGCTGTTTCTGTTAGAAGTTAAGATTCTAAATATCACATGGGAAGCATATAAAAAGAAAGATGGTCATGTTAGTCCATGAGAGCAAAACAAAATCAAACTCCACGATCAAACAGTACCTTTATAAAGATAAACTAGAATTCCACAAAAATGTGTAAGGTGGAAATTTTCCACATATGCCTGTATTAGCCTAAGTTAGTCTATAAATGTTTGGATTTGGACCAGGAAAACCTCTGACAGTCATAAGATGATCCTGGAATAATTGCTAATTTTTCTACCTTACGCACCTCATAGGGTTCCTGTGAGGATAAAATGGGATGTTCTGTATATCTCCTAAAATTCTTGAGTAAGAATGGGATAAAATAATGACCAAACTATGATTTATGTTTTAGAGGTGTGACTTCTGATTTTGTCTTGCATAACTCATTGTGGCCGTGTATTGGATCATTGACAACATTAGGTTTTCCACATAGCAGCCTCCTCATAGTGCTAAGAAGATACTCTTCTTCAAAATCTAACATATCCTATTTGGGGTTGGGTCTGGAGTGTGTCATCCTTAGAGCAGCCCCCTGGAAATCTGAATTAGTTGTGAGCAACTCAAGTCCTACTGATTTCAACTGACCTACTCTTAGCATGACTTTGTCTGAATCTAACCTTTGATTTTCTCATACCTTTTCTTCCTTACCTTGATTTTCTACTTGTCCCTTTCATTGTCTCTGCATGCTGAATGAAATGTTGCATGATTTTTTTTTCTCTTTACAAATAATTGTGCCTGCTGGTTTCAGGGCAAATTTCTCAAATGCTGAGATTATGCTTTACTTCGGTCATTCTTTTGATACTTTTCCCAACTCTTCACTAGAATTCCTACACAATGAATTGTGGACAATATTCTGGAACGGCTGGTGACTCCCTCACTGGGGGGTTTCACCCTGAAGTGAAATGGTGGGCCAACCACCAAGGAATGAAATTCAGTACAAAAGACAGAGATAATGACAACTATGAGGAGAACTGTGCAGAAGAGGATCGAGCTGGCTGGTGGTTTAACAGGTTAAGTATATTTTCATCTAATCTGTATTTGAAATATTTTACTATGATTTTGAATCTGAACATGTTTGTACTTATACAGATTTTCTATATTCAGATAGGAATGCAGCAGGTTGCATTTAAGTTAAACATATGCAATTGTCACTTTATTTCATACATGCCTGAAGTAATTTTAATTGTGTGAAATGTTCATGGCATTTATTGCAAACAAGCTGTGGTGTAGGAGGGGAATAAATGTTTGCATGCATGTACCTTAATTCTTTTTGTAGTAAGCAGCATTCCATTGAAATATATATTTTGCTGCATACTAGAATTTAGGGGTCTGTTTGCTACACAAGAGATTTCTGGGAGTTCCAGTCCAAGAACATTTGGGGACCTGAGGTTGGGAACTACTGTTCTAAACCATGGAAAGGATGGACAGATAAATAGATGTGCCCAAGCATATTCCCCTCTTCATTATTTTCTCAATGTATATGCATATTGCTACTCTTAGTCTCACTTCCTTCCTCCTTCTTCTGACCTAACTTCCAAATTCTTCTTCTGTTCTGCTAAAGAGCCAGAACCACATAGCTCCTGTATACTAGTTTCTTGAACATATTTGCAAACATGGAATCCATCATTATAAACATGTATAAAATAAGTTCAGAATTTTGTTTGGCTTCTGCAATATCCATGAGTGGATTTCTCCTATAATAAACAATAGGTGTTATTTTTGGAGTGATTACTTTATCTTAGTTGTCACAATCTCAGCAGTAGGCTGTTTTACTCTGACAGGCTGTGTAGCTCAGTGGTTTAGATACAGAGCCAGAGGCTGGGAGTTCAGTTCTCCACTGCGCATCCCAGCAAGGCCTGCCTGTGTGGTCTTGGGCAAGCTGCACAATCCCAGAATGGCCCCTGAAGAATGGAAGGGTAAACAACTTCTGAGTACTCTGTACCTAGAAAACCAGGAAAAGGGTCACCATAAGTCAGAATGGACTTGATCGCACA